CCCAAAACCCCAAAACCCCTAGATGCCTGAATTTACAGAATCAATACTAAAGTATGTAAATAAAAAAGAAAATAAAATTTATAAAATGTAGATATTACAAAAAGCTTACAAGAGAATTATAATTATTTAAATTTTAACTTTTCTCAAATTTATTTTTACGATAACATTACTTAAAACATATTTCAATTAAAAATTTAATTTATTATCATCATTTCATAATTAATGTCCCAATCACAGTTTAAATTTTGCGCGCTAAGTTTTTCCAAAAAATCTCATTTTTTTGGAATTCCAACCTCAACTGCTTTATCCCTTCTAGAATAATCATTTACTACATTGAAAAGTTTTCCATGACACTTCATTAAGGAGTAACAATCTTTTTCGAAAATATTATCAATAAATTGCTTCTAGTCCCAATTCCATTTGTAAATTTAAGTTTTTGAGAGCTAAGTATTTTAAGCTATCTGAGAGATTTTTTGTCTTGACCAGTTTGGATTTTTTTAATACTCCTAAAGTAAAAACTGTAGTTACACATCTGACATTTTATTTCTTGATCGGTAAGGTTGCTATCTATAATAATAGTTAGCATTTAAGTGACACTTTCTAGATGAAGAATACTGACTAGAAATTTTGAATGAGTTAATATAGCTTATATTCTACTAAGTAAAATTATTTTCCTAAGTATAATCTGACTCTTTTTAATAAATCTGTAAATTTTCTCTAGGATATACTTAACCCAATGTCTCTGCAATATTTTCCTTTTTTTATTCATGTTTACTTTAGTATGAAAGCTATTGATTTTAATCTTATATAATTTCTCCTAAAACCTATTATCTGCTAGACATTTTATGAGTCATGGGTAGCTACTTAGTAAAAATAGAATCTTCAATCTCGATTGCAAAATCCGAATAATCAGTTTGCAAAAAACTACTTGACTTCTGTTCTATGTCATATTATTTTGAATTTTGCTTGATTGAAAGCCATAAATTATCAAATAATTATTCATGATAGTGTTCATATAGTTGAGATTATCCAACATTAGAGTTCTCAGCAAAATTTAAATCATTGTATTAGATCTAATCCAGAAAATATTCATTTGAATTAAGTGGCTCATAATAGCTTCTTTAATCATCAATTTCATCGTGATTCATTAATAATTAGGAGTTAGATGATAGTTTCCATTATTTCAATTGATTTTCATTAATCTTCAAAAAGTTTTCAGGATTCATGGTAGAATATTAGAGCTCTCTGCTTGAGAAATTGTTAAAATCAAATATTTTTATAAACTTATTAAAATGTACTTTATAAACTCAATGAATTCTAATGTAATCTAATTTTAATTAATTTTTTTTTCTTAACAATCACCTATTATTGCCATAGTAAGTTATCCGGGGTTTTGGGGTTTTGGGGTTTTGGGG